CTGAGAGCATGAATAGTCTGTCTGTTCTGCCTTGCACCACATGGACAGACAGAAGCAGTTGGTATCAGGCTGTGAAAGTATTTGCCCCTTCTGATTTTATTTGTTTGATATTTGTCTTAAGTTTCACATCATCAACCTTTCTAATATTAGACAAGATAACCGAGTAAATCAAATGCAGTTTTTAATGATGATTTCATTATTAAGGGAAAAAGCTATCCAAACCTCCCCCCCCTTGTTAATCATGAATTAACTGTGATTAACCAAATTCTTTGGAAAGCTGAGTCATAATCACTAGCCACACCACGGCCTGATTACTGCCAACATGTTGAATCAAAATCCTTAAATAGACCTGTTGACAAGTGAGTGGTAAAGTCTCAAAAACCACATCATGCGATGTACAAATTAAACAGATGAAAACAAATCATTGATTTTAGTCTGAAAGGGTTAACCATTTAAAGGTCTTGTAGATCGCCGTGCCGACCTGTCGGCTCGACAACGGGACGTCAGGTCCAGAAGCGCGTAACTATTATATTGCGCTGCGTGGTCAGCGACACTAGTGCTGTATCTCTCTCAGTACTTAGAGATACAGAGTGATGGCGAACTGAGCAAATAGGCTTACCGAACTTTGCAATCGTAATTTCATACCACTTAGAAGATAGAAGAAAAAGGTTAACGAAAAATGGCTTTGGATTGGCTATTTTTTGATTTCCAATCAGGTCGATGTGCGCTTCTTCTATAACTTCTCTCCGACTTATGGCCACCATTCTACTTCTGTTATGAATTGTTGCTATACAAATAAAATTGAATTGAATTGAATTATCATGGTTATTTTCAACTACCTGCTCAGAAGTAGCTGCTGCTCCTTGCTAACAGTTTCACCTGTTGGCTAGTAGAGCTAACAGCAGGACTCAGATATGGAGGGTTGAGTTATTGAGTGAGCAGAAGATTCCTCCTCTGCTGTCTGGAATTTGTTTTACATTTTGATTGTTATGGGAAACAACTCGATACACAGAAAAACAGCAGACAGGCAGTAAGATTTTAAAACTCCCCCGTTGTACTATTCGCACCCAATCGACACGAGTGGTTGGCAGGGGCCCTATTAAGGGTGTTTTGAAGGGGTGGAATCAGTTACAATACAAACAGGCCACAGTGCCCCCACTAGTGCTGGCTACTGCGTACCATTGAGAACCCCTTGGCAGCAGTCAGAGCTCATCTCTGCTGCAGAACACAGACTGGTCTGAGTCCAACAAACGAACTTATAACTGAATAACAAAATGAATGTTCAGTCAGGCAGTTTAGGCCAAAGGTGGGCCCTTGTGCAACTGAGAACCGTGCAACTGAGAACCATGGACCTGAAATTATTTTAAATTAGCAAAAGAAAAAATACAACAATGGAGCCCATAGTGAATATATTTGTCAACTCACTGTGGGACTACTGGTACCAGTTCCTAACAGTAACAGTAGGTAAAGGTTATCTCTGTGTTACCTTTGCGTGATGAAGGTCGACTCCATACATGGAAAGTTTCTTTACGTTGTCCAGGAAGTGCATTTCTGCCTCAGCTGGTGTCATTCCTCTAAAGACACAATCACACAGTGTCTGAGCAGCTGCTGCTTTCTGTTTGATTTACTGCGTATTGAAATCTGTTTCATATGTTCACCTGTAGGATTTATGAAGCTCCATGATCTTCTCCTCCATTTCTTTTGTTTGATTCGGAGCAAAACACAGTTCACTGATGTAATCTGATCCGCATTCATCTGAGAAAGACAGACAGGTGGTCAGAGACAGACAGGTCATATGAAGCAGACAGACAAGAAATTAACATTCAAAGTTGACTTACTAGCATTTCACCCAAGCTTTTAGCTGTATCTCAGTTATCACAGTTCAGTATGAGGTGATTTGATGAGACCCGATCAGCATTTATACTGTAATAACATTACATTCAATCAAACAATGCTGTCGTTGCTTGCAAGTTCTTTTATTATCTGAAACATGGGCTGCAATGAATGTTTGAGATCCTGACCGTTTTCTTTCATGAAAGCGACACCATCTAGTAAAGTAATAAATTACTTTATAGAGGTAACGAGTAATGTGTGATGCATTACTTTATTAAGGTAACGAGTAACAACCTCAACATGTAATAGGGTATAGTAGGGTATAATAGAGTATAACAAGGTATAATAGGGATTAATGGGGTATAGTAGAGTGTAGTATGGTATAATACAGCATAGTAGGGTATAGAAGGGTATAATAGGGTTTTAGGGCAGTAGAGTACAGTACCAGGATCGTAGTCTCCGAGCTCTGATTGGACGGTGTAGGAGCCAAGGACGGTGTGAGTCGCAAATGAACATGGAAGACGACCAGAAACTATATCCTGTCTGAGCTGGAGACAAAGGAAGTACCTACAGGCAGACAGGAAGAGGGCATCTGTCTCAGGTGTGCAAACAGGTAGTGTTAAGCTTTGAATGACAGTTGAGGGAAAGTACCTGGTGATGTCCTCAGAGAGCTGGGCGGGGTCAGGTGGGTAAAACTTGACATTAAAGGAGAAATTCCATGGAACACCTAAGAGACCGAGAGGAGGGAATAATTTCAGTCAGACATTTAACCTAAATTAACCAGTTAACCAGTAACCTGAACTAACCAGATAAACAGTTTACCAGTTAACAGATAAGCTCTTACTAACAACAACATTTATCACATTTCCCCCTGGGGATCAATAAAGTATTTCTGATTCTGATTCTGAACTAACCAGTTAACCTGAACTATCCAACTAGTAAACCAGTAAACTGAACTACAGTTAACCAGTTAGTGTATTTTCTGCTGGTCTTAAATCTGCTGATAAATGAAGATCAACATATGATGGCCAGCCCCCTCTCTACTCACCTCTGACCTGCTTCTTCATCTCCTTTGCCGGATCCAACCAGTTCTACAAGACAACAGGGTAGAAGTCAGAGACAGACAGACATACAGACATACAGACAGACAGACAGACAGGTACCTTGTTGTTGTCGGCGTCTCTGAAGGACAGAGCGAAGTAGTCTCTCTCAAGCAGGTTGATGTGTTCACAGACCTTCTCAAACAGCTGAAGACCACGAGCTCGTTTCTGAGAGAGGAAACAGTTCATGTTCCACTTTAATTCCAGCTATTGATTTTACTTTATATCTATCTATCTATCTATCTATCTATCTATCTATCTATCTATCTATCAACCAATCTATCTATCTATCAATCTTACCTGTGTCCAGCAGTCTCACCTGTCTCACCTGTCTTTGTCTGTCTCACCTGTGTCCAGCAGTCTCACCTGTCTCTCCTGTCTTTGTCTGTCTCACCTGTCTTTGTCTGTCTCATCTGTGTCCAGCAGTCTCACCTCCACAGTGCAGGTGAACAGTGAGCCATCCAGTAGGGTCACTTTGGTCTGCATCGTCCTGAAGCTCAGTGGATTTCTGGCCGGAGAGCGAGCGATCCAACTGCTCGACGACAGGTGACTTGTCGAGTCCTCGGCCAATGAGCTCTGAGCTTGGCTCTGGGACGGCCCACCCTCCGTTCCCTTAGGACACAGAAAGTGATGTTACATGTCATAAATACTACAGTTAATCATGG